TAAATCTTACTTTGTGATGTGCTCGTCTAGACCGAGAGGCGGCTACTGTGGCTACCGGGGTTTGTATTTGACGGAGCGGATGCCTGGTAGATCTGAGGCTGTGTGGGAGGGCGGACAGGTAAGAACTGAAACGATGGAGTCTTGCTGCTGACTGGAAGGTCCAATGAAGGTTTTTACTGTAGAGAGGCTCTGGGAGCTGGGCAACCAGTGGGTATAATCCACGGCATCACAAGGAGGGAGTTCAGAAAGCCAAGAATCCAGGCTTCTAATGGGTTAGGCCAAGTCGTCACAAGGAAAACAAAATTACTGGCTAACGCCCTGGCGATGAAGTGTCGAAAGTTCCCTCCTAATATACTCCTCCAGATGACGAGGTTGGTGGCAGGTGTGCTGAATCAGCCACCACAGAACACCCCTCAGGTGAAAGCAGCCTCAGGGCACCCTCTGGTGGCTTAATGGAAAACAACAACAACACAACCGTCCCACACCCCGGATCCCAACAGAGCTGGAAGAAATGATTCTTCCTTCTATTTCTGTGAATTTAATAAAACGATAAAAACTTGATTTTATCTTGGTGTTAATCCTAATGAGGCTGTTATTGGTGAACATCCATATTAGGCTCTTTTCTCTTTGGTCCAGTTTGACCTCTGACCTCTCTGCTTTCCTCTCCAGCCGTCAGAGAAACAGCTGAACCTGGACAGAACATCTCTCTGCCATGTAGACTTCCTGGTAACAAACCTGCTGCTGCTGTGGACTGGATCAGAACCGATCTGGGCTCAGGATATGTTCTTCTGTACCGAGACGGTCGGATTGATCCAGAAAACCAGAACCCATCGTATCAGAACCGGGTGGATCTGATGGACCGACAGGTGAAGGATGGAGACGTGTCTCTGGTTCTGAAGAACCTGACCACTAACGATACGGGACTATATCAGTGCCGAGTCCAGAAGGAAGGAAGCCTTGATGCTGAACTGATCAGAACCATCAACCTGCAGGTTCTTCCTCCAGGTGAGTTTTTGTCTCTGGATCAGAACCAGCAGCTTCCTGGTTCTGGATCTCAGACAGAAACATCTTAAATCTGATCCAATCGGCTCATTGTCTTGTTCTGTGTTTGTTTTTCTGCAGGGGACAAAGATGGAGGAACCAATGATGGATCCATCGGACTGATTGTTGGTCTGATCTTATTAGCTTTTGCTGTTGCTGGTGTTTCATTTCTGATCTATAAAAAACAATCAGCTTGTTTCAGGAAGAAAACCTCAAATCCTCTAGTTGATCTGTAGATTTGCTGTAAATGCCTTTAATCTGAGGACATGATCAGATTATTGTTTCTGCTGGATTTCTAAACCAAATCAGGGCAGCAACATCAGGATGCTGCCATTTCATTCTTGCTGCCTGACAGAAAATATATTTTTTTTCTGTGAAATATGTCAACTTTTAAAAGTTATTATTCAATCTGAAATGTGTTGCCTCTCTGTCTCCCTTTTAACTCCTCTGCTAATAAAAACTACATTTGACTAAATTTAATTTCTTTGTATTTTAAATCTCAGCTGATCATTTTTTAAAATGTTTTTAACTGAAATCTTTCAGCAGCCAAACATCATGAGCAAGATGAACCAGAACATCTCAGATCATTTTATTCGTTATTATTTTCATATTAATCAGATATTAAACATCATGTCAGGACTCAATGGGTGCGTTCACACTGCAGCCTGAAGTGACCCAATTCTGATTTTTTTGACGTAATGCGACCTGTATCTGATCTTTTCATGGCAGTGTGAACAGCACAGGTCAGATTCTTTTTCAAATCTGACCCATATCCGATACGTATCCGATTCAAATGCGACCTAACGTCCAGGTCGTATTCATCCGAACTGAACGTCACTGATTCTCTACAAATCTCACTATTCTGCTTCCTGATACGCGCAAGCGGGAAGAAAAACAGCAACCATGACGGATTATATGAGGATTAAGTTGTTAATATGCTGCTCCGGTTGGACAACAACTTCAAATATGTAAGCTAAGCTCCACCGTTAGCCTCCATGTTTACTAAACACTGAGCACTTCTTCTTTTTATGGCGGTTGGCAGAACACTGAGAACGCTGAAGCTATTGCGCCCTCTACTGCGCATGCGGGACACTTTCAGGTCGTTTGCCCGTTTACAAGGCAAAAAAATCAGAATTGCCAAAAAATCGGAATTGAGTCACTTCAGGCTGCAGTGTGAACGCACCCAATGTCTTGGTCTAATATTGTGATTTATATCATTTACAATCAAACACATCATGATATTAGTAACAGCTTCATTCAGTCCATAAACTAAATAATTATTAATCAGAAAGCAACATTAATCTGGATCGGCTGACAGATGATAAGACTTCAAACATCATCACAATAAAAACTGATGGATTATTAGGAAAACTTTAATATTTCGGATCATTATTGTGTTTTAAACGTATTAAACTGTGAAGAAACGATCAGATCGCCGAGGAAACATGAGAGTCAGAGACGTTTTGACGAACCGTAGCAGGAAAATATTAAATATAATCAAATCAACATTTTATGAGTAATTTTTTTCTCCTTTAATGCATATTTATTTAAATCAAAACAGCATTTTAACTTCTTTTGTTGTTCATCTTGTTTCTACACTGTGTTCTGTAAAGGTTTGTTGTTCTGACTCAGTTTTTGTTTTGTGTTTCTGTTTGATATTTTCCTCCTGAATTAATATAAAGCTTTACATAATGCTTAAAACAATGTGTGAATAATTATTCTCAGAATGAGGGAATTAGCTCCATTTATTCATGTTTTCATGTTTCTGACATATTTACCAGAATTAATAAGGTTTTACTTCATTTAATAAGTTATTAGTGTCATTAGAATAAATTTAGTTTAACTGAATCATCAACACCAGTTTCACCTGAAATGTTTGGAAAGATTTTATAATTATTCAGCAATCAGAACATGAAGATCCAAGGAATAAACTGATCAATCTGACTGGTATTTCTCCTTCTGCTCTCTAATTTTATGTTTTCTGTCATTTGTGCTTTTAACTTGAACTTCTCTGTTTATTCTCTTATTGCTGCTTCTGGCCTGGAGCTTTTAATAGTTACTGACAAGTTCAACATGCAGCAAACGGTGAAACAAGCTGCAAACACATCAATAATGCAAAACACAAAAAATGCTGCAGCTGCAGACAAAAACGTTTCAGTCACAGAAAATAGAAGCAAAAGCCGGAAATCAACAAAATAAGTGAAAAAGGAAAATGCTAAAAAATGTTGCATTATAGATAAAATGCCCAAACTACAGAAAGTTAAATTAAAAATGGAAAATGCCAGAAATAGAAAAAAACAACAGCAAGTACAAAACACTGCAAACTGGATCAACAAAACATAATTTCTACAAGGAGTCAAAGACCAAATGATACCAGAGCAAAACCTCAGGAAGGACAAGATGTTAGGATTTAACTGGAAACTTTTAACTGAACTACAGTTTTAACTGGAGAAACCAGGTATAAACTTAAATCAGAAACAGTCCAAGCCTGAAAGCTCTTGGCTTTGAAGGCTTAAAATGACAAAAAAATTAAACCCAGAAGTTTAAATATGTTCCATAAATCTGCCTGTAAATCATCTATTAGTTGATCTACATATTGATCAGATCAGATTCATTAATTCTGCTATAAAATAACAAACATTTTGAATCAAAACTAAATTATTTCGGACTAAATTCAGCCCTGCAGCCTGAAGGAGGAAAGACCGCAGGAAGCTGAAGGTCAGACTCAGTTTGGACATTATTGATCATCTATTCAGTAAATTATTGATCATCTATTCAGTAAATTATTGATCATCTATTCAGTAAATTATTGATCATTATTGGTTCGATCGGCTCCAGATATCATCTAAAACCAGCAGTAAGGAGGAAACTGACCTGCAGCGTTTCATGGTGACCCCTGATCTCCTGACTTCTCCTCCACGTTGCCAGGTTTCACTCTGTCCTCCAGTCGGTCTGCACTCTGTGACCCAGCAGCTCTGACTCCGCCCACTCTGGTAAACACAGGTGAGCAGCTCAGGTTCAGGTAGAGACACGTAGAAG